CAGCCCAAATCCGAGTCCCAGGCACCCCAACCGGCCCTCCTCACCCTGTGCTTGTGGCTCCTGAACATGCCCTGCTCACTCCCATCCCCACACCCTGCCATTCCCTCGCCCCTGCCTCCCCTCTCCAAGGCACTCTCCACCCTCAGGACTCACACCTTACCTCCCTGCACCCCTCAGCTAGCTCTCGCCTCTCTTCCTCCCTCTCCTGCTGCTCCTTCTCCTCCTCATCCTCTTCCCCTCTTCCCGCCTTCTCTCCCTCTCTTTCTTTCTCTCCCTCACTCTTTCTCTCCTTCTCTCTCTCTCCTTCTCCTTCTCTCTCTCTCCCTCTGTCTCCCTTTCTCCCTCTCCCCTTGCAGAAAGAGAGGATATCTTCTCTGTTCCATCTTGGGTAGTATCCAGTAAATACTTAGCATGTTATTTCAAAATTACTTATTTATTTGCCAGTCCCCCCACCACACACAAGACATTCAGCTTTTCTTGGGAGAGAAATGGATTCTTTTTCATCTAGAACAGCCCTGGATGCATTCAAGAGCTCAATAAACACTTAAGTGATTAAATGAACTTTGGGTGTGGAGCTGACAGGACTTGATGTGATTATTTGGTTACACTGTAGAGAGGGAAGGAGAAAAGAACAGCTTTCTAGCTTGGGAAACTGGACAGTTCCCATTTATTTGTTTAGGTGCTAGTGCCTTCACACTGACCTACATCCTCAGCCCTATTTATTTATTTATTTATTTATTTATTTTGAGGTACGGTCTCACTGAGTCACTAAATTTCCTAGATTGAACTCAAACTTGGGTTTCTCCTGCTTCAGCCTCTCAGAGTGCTGGATTACATGCCTCTTCTAATAGCCCTGCTATAGTTATATTTCTTAGTAGGATCCCCTGCTTCCACTATTGGCCTATTCTAATCCTTTCTTGAAGACAGCCAGAGGGGTCTTTTACAAATGTAAATAGCATGCCAGTTGGCTCCTCCTCCCTACGCTGTCCAGTCCGTACTTCTCTGGCAGGACCCTGCAGCGCCACACTGCTGCCTCCTTGTCTGTCACTGTGTCCTGCCACTTTGCCCTCCCACGTCCCCTGAGGCACCCAGGGCTTTTGCGCTCCTTTCACACACGCTCTCTTGCTCTTGCTCATTGTCTTTCTTCTGCTCCTCCTTCTGCTCCTCAAAACTTCCTTTACTTCTTTGCTTGTCTCCGATTCACACAGGAAATGGCTTGCGTGTGCCTTTTCTGGACAGTGAGCTGACCTCTTTACCTAGTGCAATACAGACAATTAATAGACTTTTGGAGCTGATCAGGTGAGTGGCTAATGAGACCATGAAGAGAACTTTCCTCCAGAAGAGAGGCTGATGGTAACTGGGAATACAGGTGCGATCATTTTGGCTGGGGCAGGTTGAAGCCCCACAGTGACAGGTGGGGAGGCGCAGCAGGCAGTCTCCTTGATTATCCCCAGGGATGGGCTTCTGTCTTCCACACACTCATGGAGCACAGACTTGCAGCACATGTAGTCACTACTTCTAGTCCAGCAGGGAGGATGTCAGGCTCTCAATTTACATGAACACTGAGTCTAGCCAGGCACGGTGGTACACACCTGTAGTCTCCACTACCCAGGAGGCTGGGGCAGGAGGATCTCTTGAGCCCAAGAGTTCAGGTCCAGTATGGACAACCTAGTGGGACCCTGTCTCAAACGCAAGCAAAGAAAGAACCAAACCCCAAATCCACACTCAAAACCAAAAAGTCACCAAAGCCAAGTCTCTAGTCCTTTTGCCTCTGGTACTGTGTCTGAAGATGGAGTTTGGGAATAAGACGACAAGGACTTGTGTTCTTCCATCACCCTCAAGTAGGATTTTAGCTAAAGCTCAGTGCAGCTAATACGGGGCTTTTTTATCCCAGCAACCTTTGCAAACAATATGGGTAAATTCCAGGTGCCCTTCCAGCAAATCAAGATGCATCCTAATCTGTTACTGAGGGAAAGAGTATTTTCCCATGGTCTTGTTAGGTGTACACATCAGTGCTGAAATTTCTTCCCTTGACAGAGACAGACTTAAGGGCTTCTGTTTCTTATTAAGGTTGCCATGGAGGCATTAGAAACAAATATATCCTTTGGCAAATAATTCAGGTTCTGATATGTTTGTTTATTTGCAATTAGAAAGTACACATGGCAGTGTTAGGCAATCTAAATACAGAGCTCACACCCCTGTGGAGGACAGTCATACCGCACTAAGCATCTGCACTATCTAGCTGGAGATTCCACCTACGCTATTGTGTATTGTTCTCCGAATGTCTCAGGAAGCTCAGCAGTTTACCTTATAGAAGAGGACCACAAACATGACAAGGCAGCTACCCTGGATCTTTTTTGTTTGTTTTTGCAGTGCTGGAGATGGAACGCAGGGCCTCACACAAGCAGGTAAGCACTCTACCACTAAGCTACACGCTCAGCCCAGGGCAGCTACTGCTAAAAGATCTTAGGGTCAGATTTCCCTGTATATGAGGTTCTGCACTGAGCTACCTCAGGGCCTCCATTCACACCCCAGGTCAGGGTCCTGAGTGGCCTTCCTCAGGGCACCTTGTCTCTGTTCCAGCTTAGGAAGAGCCACCAAGTCAGCACAGAGGAACAAAGGCCACTGCTTACCACCTTAACAGGCCAACTGTCCGGCCGTCCTAGAACAGGTAGGTTATATGCGCGTCTTTTTAAACTCAGCTTCTGTCATACTGTCATACTGTATGAAGGCACAGTAATCATTGTGTCCTGTCTCCTTTTTTTCCTATGTCGAAGTTACTTTACTACTTAGTGCAACACCCATCTTGTGTTGTGCATCGTGCTCATGCATGACTCTGGGGGAAATGTACAGTATTTAGAACATTCTAAGGGCTTGCGGAGACTGCTTCTGTATGAATTTTGCTTCTTTGTGAATTGTCCCTGTTCTTCAGTCTAGCTACCATGTATTGCTTTCATAATAAGAAAAAAATGTTAATAAAGAAGCAACGCTTTAGGAATAATTGCAAAGACCGACAGCAATTCTTTAAATGGCTTGTATTTCCCCTCCCCCTCCTTCTTCTCTCTGCTCCATCTCCTTCTCCTTCACGTTTGTGGCAAAGCTGGGGGTAGAACCAGGGCCTGCTGCACGCTACTGCTCAGTCACACCCCAGTTCTTGCTATTCTTATGAGAAAAAGTCACATAAGGCAAAGTCAGCAGAAGGCTACAGAGATGACCTTATTTTCCTGTCAACAGCACTGTGTCCCATGGACCATGGACCTGTGCAGTCAGTGGAGGACGACAGCGTTTTGTAAAACACCACCTTTCGCTTTGGCTGTAGCCTTTGCGCCCATGATTCCGCCACACTGAAGCCTTCAAGCTGGCTCAGGAGACCACGTCAAGCAACGGCCACTGTGCTGCTTCCCCACTCTAGTAACCCAAGGTGTCTCCAGACCACACGCGTCTACCTGACTCTTGCTCCCCCTGGGACCAGTGCTCTGCTGCTAGGCGGCGCGGTGGTTCTGTACAAAGGCAGCCGCCGGCCCAGGCCCCACCACTTTCCGCACACACCTCAGCCCCGGGCCAGACCCATGCACAGAACCATGTCTGATCTCTTCCTAACGGTGCCTGCAGTTGCACATCACCCACTGAGCCCCAGGTGAGCATGTCGTCGCTCGCACCTACAAAGCATAAGCACATCTGCACACATGGACTCACACACACAGGCACACGCAAGCACAGCTTTCTGACACACTTACAGTTGGAGAGAGCACTTTGCTAAGGACTTCAATTCATATTTCAATTCTGTGACAACGCCCGTCCTTTCAGCTTAGCTGCCCCAATCTAAGGTCACTCATTGCCTCCTAGCAGGGATGGTCCTACTGTTTCTGCAATCCAAGGCAAGCTTGCTTCCCCTCACCCTTGCACAAACCCCTCCAGCCCCATCAATACCTTCGCGGATCACCTGAGTCCTCCGCTTTCTTGTTTGAGCCTTAGTTAGGAATTTGTGGTTACACTCGACAACCGTACACTTGAGGCAGAGAGAGCCGTCCCGGACAGAATGATACATGAAATAAGAAAGTCATGGGACAAGATGCCTCTAGTGAGGTTTCTAAAAGCCAGAAAGCAATGCCCTTGGGGCCATTGGGGTAGAGTTATTAAATGAAGTTCACTTAACCTGGGCCTTGAAGGACGTGGGGACTTGGACGTACAAAGACAGAGGCAGGAAATTCCAGAAGGCAAGACTGTTTGCAAAGGCCCAGGAAAAGGAAAATGTGATGTCTGTGGAAACCAGAGTAGTTCCCATGTTTGGAGTGAGGATGCTGGAAGGGGCAAAGGGGGCTGGGAGGGACCTTGTAAAAAGGGATTGTGGCCTTGTGTGGACGCTTGATTTTTATCTTTAGAGAAGCTGGGAGGCCGCAAAGGGGGTAAAGCTCAGGAGCGCTGCTGACCCCTTGAAAGGAGGCATGGTGGAAACCAGGGAAAGCTGCCTGCAATCTGGGCCAGAGCTCACACTGAGGGAGGTGGCACACTGGACTTGGTGTGCTGCAGCTGGAGAGAAATGGATGACTTCAAAAGCTATTAGGAGCCAGGGAACAGCAAGAGATAAGGCTGGAGTCTTAGACAGGGGTTAAGCCTTAAAGGCTATGGGAGCTATGGGAAGGTTGTAAGCCACCAGAAGGCCTTTGAACGCCAGAGACGTGATTACATTAGCATTTCCCAAGATCTCTCTGGCTGCATCAAGGGAAAGGAGCGAAGCAGTTGAGGGTGTTGCAATCATTGCACAAGACACGCTAGAGGCTGGCCACGGGTGGTAGCAGTGGAAATAGGCACAAGCGGGTGGGCCGCAGGGCCACAGGACAGGGGCAAACTTGATGAATTTGATGGTAACTGCATTGTGGGAGGCAAGGGCGCATGCGGAGATGTCACTGCGGGCCAGTGTTCCTCTTCCAGAAGCTTTAATGGCAGAAGCCCAGCAATGCCATCCCCTTAGTGAGCAATGACGCCGCAGTCTTACTCACGGGAAGCATGTGGGCTTTGCGATGTGGCCAAACACTTAGGATGAGCACCGAGGACAGTTACTGGATTACATTTAGATGATGCATTTGGCCTGGTCTCCTCCGCTCCTCAGCACACCTTCTCCCCATCCAGGAGTGACAAAGGACGTTTCCAGTGCTGGTCTTGGGAGCCTTTGGCACAGTAGGAAAACATGGTGATAGCATCCTGAGGTAGAGAGCTGGCTTGCTAAGCATCAGACTTCTCACTTTCATTTGTTTCCCACACTAAATCCTCTTTCCAAGACAGGAATTATTCTCTTCACTCTCCAGATGAGGAAAATGAAATTCAGAAAGCTGAATGATGCAGTTGGTGATTAAATTCCAGCCTGTGTAACTTCAAGTGCAGCTTCATCAACCACACCACTGGTTTCCAAGCTCAGCTGCACACTAAAGTCATGAGGGGTGTTGTGGGGCAGCGGTTGAGCTCTTGCCCAGCTTGTGTGAGGCCCTGGGCTCCATCCCCAGCACCATAAGCAAACAACCAAACAGCTGGGGAGTATTCTCCTCTCTTTTAAAAACAGCTTTATGGAGATATAATTGACACCACCTACAGTAATTCACCCATTTAAAGTGTACAATTGAATGGCTTTAATATATTTACACAGTAACTGCCACCATTGCCATAGTTGATTTTTAAAAATTTCATCTCTTCAAAAAGGAGTGCCGTACCCATTAGCTATCCTGCTGCTACTCCTTACCCTTTATGCTGACCCTTAAGCAAACACTAATTTATTTTCTGTCTCTATAGATTTTCTTTATCCGAACTTTCTTATGAATGAAGTCATGTCATATGTGGGCTTTGGTCACTGGATTTTTCACCTAAGATAATATTCTTTAGGTTCATTCAAGCTGTAACATATATGAATACTTCATTCCTTTTTGATATTCATATAACATTCCAATATATAGATATGCCATATTTACATCCACTGATAGATTTTTGGGCTGCTTCCGCTTTAGGCTATTATTCCTTTTTTTTTTTGGTTTTTCTCCGGTACCGGGAACCGAACTCACGACCTTGCGCTTGCCAGGCAGGCGCTTTTTAGGCTGTTATTCCTAATGTTACTACTAACTGCTCTTGTTCAAGTTTTTCTGAAAATGTTTATTTTTAATTCTGGTAGATATATAGTAAAACCTTGATTTGCAAGTGTAATTTCTTCCAGAAACATGCTTGTAAATATACAAAGCACTTGTATATCATAGCAAATTTTCCCATAAGAAATAATTGAAACTCAGACAAAAATATTCATATAAAAATAATTACAATACTGTAGCATAACATAAAATAAAGGAAATACAAAATATGAAGAAAAATAAACAAATTAACCTGCACTTATCTTTGAAAATCTTCCTGGCTAGAGTGAGGGAAACAAGACAGAGGACAGCTATTATGTAGGGTGAATTTCACTATCACCAGTGAAATCACTGCTATCTATTGGCTCATGGAATCATTTTCTTTTTGTTCAACTTTAACAAGGAGCCAATCCAATGATGCTTACTTTTGCCTCTTCTTGAGGATTTTGAGGAAATGTAATATTGCACTGTCAATAAACAGAGCTACAGCCTTATTTGGGTGGTGTTTTCTACAAAATTTTGCACTGCTTCTCACATTTTATACATTTCTGTACCCTTATTTGAAGTGAGGGGTGCCTCTGCCTTTTTGCCTTTTTGCCTTTTTCTTCTCCTCCTGTACAGATGAGATCTCCTCCGTAATCTCTTGCTGTTGGGAGAGGAACACTCACAATCCCTCAGGGGTAGGGGGAAGAGAAGGACAGAGAAAAAACCATTGTCTTAGTTGTGATCATGGGACATTTGGTGTCATGCACTACTCAATTTGCAAGACATTGCTCATTTATGAATTTAAAATTTATTAGAAATGTTTGCTTGTCTTGCAGAACAAGGTATTGGCAATCTGAGGTTTAGGAATGGAATTGCTGAGTCCTATGGTAACTCTCCATTTGACTGTGGGAAGAGTTGCTAAACTGTGCTACCTGGGGAGTTTTTAGAATATACTAATGGCCTGCCCACCCTACTCACCTCCCAGGCCTGACTAAATGAGCCATTCTAATACTCTCTCCAAGTAGATTTCAGGGGGTACCTGTATTGGGCACCACTGACCTGCACCATGGTGTCAGTGGCATGTGGCACATGGGACTATTTAACATTGTCTATTGCTGAAGAATTATTAGCTACAAGGACTCAGTAAGAAGCCAATGATGCATTGGTGCTTGCTCATCAGTAAAGGTACTCTCCTACTGGGGCACGATTCTGGGAAGAGAATTTTTCACTAGAGCTTTTCAGCCTCATAGTTCTCTTTTCTGTCACCGAGATTGAGCTTCATAGCAAGAAGACAAGACAGCACATATCAGGCTGGATTTCCAGTGTTCTGACAAGGAATTGCTTCCACACACCACTTGTCACATTTCCTAGACCGATGCCATGAAGATTGCTTAGCTGGAGTCTAGAAAGGTTATGAGTCTGCAAGACTTCCTTAAGAAACTGCAAAGCTCCCTGGTAGAAAGGAAGTTGATGGGGCGGGAGGAGTCAGGTGGAGACATGACTTCGTTTTGGCAAGAAGCAAGGGGAGGGGAAATTGGCAGGAAGGACTGTTTGCCTTTCCTCGGCCCCTTTCTGCCCCGGGGCTGTTCTATGCTCATACATTTTTGAAGAGTAAGATATGCTTTTGCTGTACAGGTAGGGGACACTGGGAGCAGGGATGAGCGTGGGAGAGGAGGTAGATGAGGGGTCAAAGAGACACATCCTGGATTACATCATTCCACCCAGACAACCTCTGTGCTTGGCACGGCTTGCTGCCTTGGGATGTACAGCTGAACACTGTCAAATATTTCCAGAGGTATATCTACAGTGAGACACATTCAATCAATTGCTAATTATGATTTCTCAGTCCACTTCATATTGCTTCCAGGCCTTTGCCCTGGTGACCCTGACTCTTAAATTGTGTTGAAAGAGGAAATGCCACACCATTGAAATTTGAGCCATTTCTCCTTCCCAACATGTGGTTTACAGTTTAGATATGCATATAATGCTTTCACGTAGGTTAGCTATAATTCTGACCCTTCAGAAACTTTGTAAGATATTATTATCTCTATTTATACACGAGGAAGCTGAGACTTAGTGTTGGTTGGATGACATGTCTAAACACCTGCTACTAGTTTTGCGCAGAGATGGGACTAGAACTTCGGTCTTATGATTACATGTTCTAACCCACCAACCTGTCTCCCCATTATACCTTGACAAGCATCTATAAGTTAAATTTAATTTTCTCGTTTTTCTGTTTTCTATCTTTCCTTCTTCCTTCCTTCCTTTTGTCTTTCTTTCTCTCTTTCTCTCTTTCTGTCTTTCGTTCGTTCGTTCTTTTCTTCTTCTTTTTTTTTTTTTTTTTTTTTTTTTTTTTTTGGTTTTTCTCCGGTACCAGGAACCGAACTCACGACCTTGCGCTTGCCAGGCAAGCGCTTTTGCCGCTGAGCTAAATTCCCAGCCCCTCGTTCTTTTCTTCTTGAGACAGGGTCTCTCTATGTAGTTTGGTCTTATCTCACACTCACTATGTAGCCCAGGCTGGCCTCCAACTCACAGCAATCTTCTGCCTCAGAGTCCCAGAGTATGAGGATTACAGATGTGCAACAACACGCCCAACAGTCAAAGGTAATTTTGTGTATATTTTTACCATCAAATCTCTCCAACTCCTAAGCTATTAACAGAGGTAATATATATATATATATATATATATATATATATCACTCAGTAAGATTAAAGAAACAGCTGGGCTCACATAACATAAATTTGCAATGGAACTAGTCATTATTACCTTTTGCTTTTAATATTTGCCGGTATCATTGAATGTGATAATTCTCAACTTTTTAAAAATCTGAAGGCCAGGCATGTTGGCACACGCCTGTAATCCCAACACATGGGAGGCTGAGGTGGGAGGATCATTTTGACTTTGAGACCAGCCCAGGGTACATAAGTAAACTCAAGGCCAGCCTGAACTGCATAGCAGGACCCTGTCTCAAAATGACAAAAAAATAACAAAATAAAAAAATTAAAATCTGAAATATTTTGGAAATGTGATAAATACAATGACTTGCCTGAGGGCTGGGGATTTAGCTCAGCGGCAAAAGCGCTTGCCTGGTAAGCGCAAGGTCGTGAGTTCGGTTCCTGGTACCGGAGAAAAACAAAACAAAAAACAAAAAACAATGACTTGCCTGTTCAGATAAATACAAACCCATACATAAATAGAGAATTTTCATACCTGTCAAAAGGGTCCTGAAACCCAACTTTGAACTCCAGGTTATAAACCTAAAAAAAGGAAATGAAACAAAGAAAGAAAATCATGATAGTATTTATCCAGGATCAAAGATTAGCAAGGCTGGTGTGACAGAAATTTTATTTTATTTTTTAATTTTTTGTTAGAAATTTTAAATAGAGTAAATTCCAGCTGGGTACATGGTGCATTCCTGTAAGCCCAATTACTCAGAGGCTGAGGCAGTAGGATTGAAAGTTTGAGCCCAACCTGGACTACATAGTGAGACTTTCTTTCAAAATTTTTTTTAAATGTTGGGTATGTAGCTCAGCAGTAGAGTACCACTGGGTTCAATCAGCAGAAAAGAGTAAATTTAAAGATCTACATAATTTTGCCTATTTAACGTCTTTGTTTGGATATCAAATCAGAGTCAAGCTAGGATTTTTTCTTTTCTTTCTTTTTTTTTTTTTTTTTTTTGTCTTTTTGAGCCAGGGTCTCACTATGTAGTTCAGGCTGGTTTTGAGCTCACTTTGCAGCCCAGGCTGGTCTGGAACTCGCAATGATCCTCCTGCCTCAGCCTCCCTAGTGCTGGGATTACAGGCATGCGCCACCTTGCTCAGTTTTTTTCTTTTTTGTCGAAACTAGGATTCTTGATTTCTGCCTTCTTGTGTTCCTCTTCCAATCTTCCCCATCTCAGTTCTTGGCACCACCCCATTGCTGGAGCCCAGAACAATCATTCTTGATTTTTCTCTTTCCCTCTCACATCCAATCAATCCAGTCAGCTTTGCCCCCAATATAAATTTCATAACCATCAGTTTCCCTGGGTCTCCTTTGCCACCAGTCTAGTCCAGTCAATGAGGATGAGCGGAGAAAATGATTCCTAAGGAGATGGCATTTATAGTGACCCTTCCAAAGGGTGGGACACCTGAAAATCCCCCAGGTAATCCTGGGAGGGATATAGGGGCCTCAGGCTCTGCAGGTAACAGAGTGGGTAGAACTTTTAAAAAGGCATTTTTGTCCTCTTCTCTTCCTTTCCTCTCCTTTCTTGTACAACTCAGTCCCCAAGCCATCAAATGCCAGGAGCCAGAGCCCAAGCCCAGGGAGAAAGGGTCTTACAGAGTCCCAACATGGTGTACAGAGCCACAGGACAAGCTGGGGCGAGCTGGGTGGGCAGACTGTCCACACCCGTGAGAGTCCCTGCGCGTGGTATCAGACCCCAGCGCGGATGAAGAGCTTGTGCATTTCGGGGAAGGGCAGCCCAGGGAGAGGCGATGGGATCCGAGCAGGTCAGCGTTAAGTCTGCAGAGTACCGAGCAACGTAAAGGGAAAAAGAGCCACTTTGCAGCAGGGAAGGCCGGCAGACGCTATCTTACCCACAGGGTCACAACACATCGTCGGGAACAGACTATCCTGGCAAACATGAGGAATGTTAGAGAAACGCAAATGGGGCATGGTCTATGAGTATTGGCCTGTGATCTTCAAGAGTACGCGATTCTTAGGTCTAACTAAGTTTTTAAAACTTGGAAAATAGTTGTCAGAAATATGATAAGCAAGGGGATCATAATGTGAGTGTATAAAAGCTCAAACAAATAGAGAAGAAAAACTGAAAACCTCAAGAAAAGCAGCTGCCTTTTGAGGAATTTCATTTCTCTCACAAATCAGGTTCATAATGACAGTTTCTTTCTAGAATCCTGTACTTTTCCTTCATTCCATGTTTTCCTTCATAATTATAATTAATTATTTGTAGGTCTTTCTATTTAATGTGTGTCTCCCGTACTGGACTGTTGTTCTCTTTCTTTGGCTGATTTTGTACATTACTGTGTTCTCAGCATTTGGCAGTGGCCTGACATACAGTCCTCTGTCAATAAATATTTGTTGACTGAATAAACGGGGAGGGGTGAGAGGGTGGCCAGCTTGTGAATTATGCACGGAAAGTGGTCATAGTCCTTTAGGTGTTGGATTCTGTGTGCAGGAGGCAATGGGCATTAGAATAGTCCCTCTCACCCATGTGTTTTTCAATCAGACCCTAAAACAGGGAAAGTCTGGCTGCCTGTGGAACTCTAGGGAACCGGAAGCCCTGGCAGAAAATTTCCCCCTGTTGGCATCCAGGGCATGGAGAAATTGTCTGCCTGCCAGCAGGAGATTCAACCTGAGAACTTGGCAACCTCGAGGGCTTACCCGGAACTGACACATATCCGGAAAAGTCCACAACCACAGAAGCTGGCTTTACCCTGCAGCTCCTGGCAGAGGTCCAGGGTCACTGTGCCACATTTCTCCAGAGTCCAGATGCGAAAGGGACAAGTGACCAGCAGAGAGTCTGCTGGAACTGCCCCCGGGGATGAGCTCTCACCTACCCACTTCTCTTATCTCATCTTCAGACAGGAGGTCTGGCCCTGAGTAGCTGGGGGTGGAAACAGGGAAACATTCCAGGCAGAGAGAAAGTCTAATTGAAATAAACACACACGGCCATAATGTGCATCAAGGTCTGGTAAGTAGAGGGATATGACTGGAACTTGGGATAAGAGGTAAAGCAAAGCAAAAGATGAGGTTCAAAGTGCAAAAGTCCACCTCCCGGTGCCTTCCTGAGGAAAGTGAACTTTACCCTGCAGCAACGGAGAACCACCGATACAGCCAGTTTCACGCTATGACATTTTCACCTGAGTGCCGGGTGGGTAGTGGTTTGGAGCAGGAGGAAAACCATTCACAACGGTATTGAAGTAGTCCAGGCAGTGCATACTGACAGCTCAATGTAAGGTCAAGGTGGGAGCACAGAGAAAGGGACGGTTAAGAGAGGCAGAGCTGCAGTTCACACGTGAGGGGTGGGAATGACAGGCAAGACGTGCAAATCTAGGCTGCTAGTGCTTTCACTGGGGTGTACAACACAGGCAAGAAGTGAGTTCGTCTGCACACGTTAAATTTGAGAAGCTGGTAGATTGCCCAGGTAGAGATGTCCAAGGAGCAATTGAATACACAGGTCTGAAGTTCAGCAAAAAAGTCAAAGCAGGGGACACAGACTTAGAAATCATTAACACATAACTAAGTCATCACAGTAAACGGGGCCACTCACAACGTGTGTAGCATGAGAACCAGAGGCTAAGGAGAGAGCCTGAGATTTCTCCACTGCTTAAAGAATGGTCAGAGGAAGGGTGACCATTGACGCTGGAGAAGGTAGCAGGGGTTATGTCTTCTAAATACAAAGGGGCACACTTTTGAGACATGGGGAAGTGTCAATAGTGTAGAACAGCACTGCAAAGGGCTAAAAATGTCAAGCGAACCAGGGCAAGTATGAAGGAAAAATCCTGACACCACCAAGATGCCAAAGAGGATTTCTCTGACCTGAGGATATTCCCCTGTAGATGTGCAAAACTTTCAGAATTCTATGGATAAATCAACCTTTAATTCAGAAAGAAGGCTATTCTAAGTAGGTGTCATTTCTAACAAGAATTTCCTTCAGGCGGAAGGGCAAAATGGGCTCATAACTTGTTAGGTGAATCGTGTCCCCCAGAAAGACGGATTGGCATCCTAACCTCCTAGCACTTCAGAATGTGACCTTATTTGGAAATAGGTTGCCGAGGATGGGATCAAGTTAGGATGAGGTCATAGCAGAGCAGAGGGAGCCTTTAATCCAATATGACTGGTGTCCTTAGAAGAAAAGAGACAGAGAGATAGATCAACAGGGACAACATAGTGCAGAAGCGCCTAGCCAAGTAATGCCAAAGATAGGCAGGCACCACCAGAAACCACAAAGGGATCAGGCAGCATTCTGCGCAAAGTCTTTCCATTTCTGTTGTTTTAAGCTGTCTCTTTTGCGGTACAATCGTCCCTGTGTACCCACAGATTTCACATCCATGGTTTCAACCTACTGCAGCACAAAAGTCTTCAAATCTCTTCCCAGTATTCCCTAAACAGTGCAGCTAAAACTATTTCCAGAGCATTCATTTTGGATTAGGTATTATAAATTATCTAGAGATGATTTAATCTATATGGACATAACTAATGTAGATGCAAATATATTGCCATTTTATATAAGGGGCTTGAACATCTGCAGATCTGGGAACCCAAGGACAGTCCTAGAACCCACCCCCTTTGGGGTCTGAGAGACAACTGTAAATTTGTTATATCACCTCTAGGAAACAAGTACAGTTAGGAAATATAAAACAGTGCCATTGCCCTGGGGACAAGCTCCCACTGATCGGATAAACCCTCACTAAGAAGGGTTACTGTAAAGATCTCATTCCAACGGAAACATCTGGCTACTTCTAGGAGAACAGACAAGCTGAGAAGAGCAGTAAAAGTCTTGGTGCCATTCCAAGGAGTTTAGATAATCTTTGCTCTTGGAGAGATTTAAGTTGTTGGGTCTGTAAATCCCAATGTTTAAAGTGGAAATCAAAATTTATGTCTTTCTTTGGAGTGGTTATTTTACAAAAAAATCCAAATGCCTTTCACTGTAGGTAATATCCTTGTACAGATAATAAATAGCAACAACAACAAAATAATTATAGAGGAAATAACATTGGGAAGGGGGACATGGCCATTTTATTGCACTATTTTTCTCCACCTTCCTTTTCTCATTAATAGACTTTATTTGTAGAACAGCTTTAGGTTTAGAGAAAAACTGAGCAGTAAGTACAAAGCGATCCCTTACAACCACCCTTCTGTCTCATTACCGTGTCCTGGGCACCAAACTTCCCCTATTATCAACATCTTGCATTAGTGTGGTAAGTTTGTACAGTTAATGAAGCGATATTGTTACATTAATATTAATCAGACTTCATAGTTTACATTCAGGTTCAATTTTTGTGCAGTATAGTTCCATGGGGCTTGGTTTATGAATAATGTCTTGTTTTGTTTTGTTTTGTTTTGTTTTGTTTTTCTCTGGAACCGGGAACCGAACTTACGACCTTGCGCTTGCCAGGCAGGCGCTTTTGCCGCTGAGCTAAATCCCCAGCCCCCTGAATAATGTCATATATTGACCATTAGAGTACCAGACAGATACCCAAAAAATGCAAATCCCTTGTGCTTTACCTATCCATTCCCCTCTTCCTCTCATACGACC